AGATGGCGCCACTGCACTCCAGCCTGGGCGACAGAGCAAGACTGTCTCAAAAAAGAAAAGAAACAAAAGGAGACATCAATGGTTACCACAGTTACTTATCTGGAGTGGGAGGACAGGGAGGGATAGATTTAAAAAGTTCAAACAACATAAAATATGAAATCTCATATTTTCAAGGTAATGTCTATTAATAGGCATAGATCCTTCCTGATCATTACTGCTTGCAGCCAAATACAGGTATTTTGACAGAATGTGATTGCATGTGGATTACAAGGGGAGCCTGATGGGTCCACACAGCCCAGGGGTTTGCAGGCGTTGTGACAGGCATGGGAGATGTTGGCGGCAGGTGCAGCGCCCTGCAGGCAGCTCTGGCGGGGAAAAGGAGAGCTTGAGCTTGAGAGGACGTGTGTGGTGAGTTGGAAACATTTTCTGGCTCAGTGCACACCTGGCCAAGGAAGAGCAGAGGAGGAAAAAGAGGCGGCTGAAGAAGCGCATCTTTGCAGCCGTGTCTGAGGGCTGCGTGGAGGAGCTGGTGGAGCTGCTGGTGGAGCTGCAGGAGCTTTGCAGGCGGCGCCGTGACGAGGATGTGCCTGGTGAGTGTCTGAGCCTGGCAGAGGGTACGGGGCTGGGGCCCCGCTTGACTTCCGTTGTCCATCTTCCCCTCCCCTCACCAACCCGTGGGGCTGGAGTGTGAGGGACCTTGAATTCTGGCGAGGGACTTTGAACTTGACTCCAAGGAGAATGGGGAACCACAGAAAGGTTTGGGCAGGTGAGAGTCGGGCGAGAGATGGGGGGTGAAGCTGGAGAAGGCCACGGTTCAGGCAGGGCGGGGACCCTGAAGCAGGGCTTGAGAAGGGGAATGGTTCTGGGCAGCTCCTCAGCCAGTAACACGGGCAGGACTTGAGGACCTGGGGAGTGAGGGACAGGGGGTCCAGCATGGTGCCATGTAGACTTGGGTAGCCTGGTGGCTGGTGGAGCCCTGGGTGTGCAGGGACCAGTGCAGTATCAGGTTGATGGGGAGGCCATGAGCTGAGCTTTATTTGCAGGCCACGAGGAGGGGGCAGGCTGGAGACAGAGGTTCTGGGGTGGACAGTGGGAAGCCACACCATGGGGAAAGAGTAAAAGGCCTCAGATAAGGCTCCCATGGGCCACAGAGAGCAAGGAGCCAGCAAAGGAGATGGAGGAGGAACAGCTGGAGAGGGAGGAGGAGAGCGGCCAAGTGTGAGACCTGGGAGCAGGGGTGTAGAGCAGGGGCTTGAGGTCGGCGGCTGCAGCTCCCACACCCTCTGAGCTGGGAGGGCCAAGGGCAGCCGGGCCCCGCCTGTAGCTCCGTCCCACGGCGCTGCCTGCAGACTTCCTCATGCACAAGCTGACGGCCTCCGACACGGGGAAGACCTGCCTGATGAAGGCCTTGTTAAACATCAACCCCAACACCAAGGAGATCGTGCGGGTCCTGCTTGCCTTTGCCGAAGAGAACGACATCCTGGGCAGGTTCATCAATGCCGAGTACACAGAAGAGGCCTACGAAGGTATCCTGCCCACAGAGGGGCTGTGCAGACAGAAGTCTCTGAGGGTGCGGGGGCTGCGGGGCCGCGGGGCCGCTGCTGGCCAGGCCACGTGGAGGCACGGCTGCCACTGAGGAGCCCCAAGCATGTAGCATGGTGCCCGGGAAGCTTCAGGTACCCCTCTCTTTCTTCCTTGATTCTGCAAATAATTTTGAGCATTGGTTCCATGCCAGGCATCGTTTTTGGCATGGGCATGCATTGGTGAACAACACGGGTTAAAGTCACTGCTCTAAGGCTGGGCACGGTGGTTCATCTGAGGCGGGTGGTTCATCTGTGGTCAGGAGTTCAAGACCAGCCTGACCAACATGGTGAAACCCCGTCTCTACTAAAAATACAAAAATTAGCCGGGCGTGGTGGCAGGTGCCTGTAATCCCAGCTACTTGGGAGGTTGAGGCAGGAGAATCACCAGAACCCAGGAGGAGGAGGTTGCAGTGAGCCAAGATTGTCATTGTACTCCAGCCTAGGCAACAGAGCAGAACTCCATCTCAAAATAAATAAATAAGTAAAGAAAGAAAGAAAAAAGGAAAGAAAGAAAGAAAGAAAGAAAGAAAGAAAGAAAGAAAGAAAGAAAGAAAGAAAGAAAGAAAGAAAGAAAGAA